TAAAGGTACCATTCCTGCAAAAATATTAGACTTCAAGCGAAGGTTGTATTCGTATTGTTTGTTAAAATTTTTATTTAAAAAAAAGTGTAAGTTCTAGTGGGAGGGAAGATATAATGTTAGTGATTAATTCATTTATTCATCTGATACTGAGCGTTTAGAACGGTGGGCCCAACTGCCAGGAGCACGAGATGCAGTTATTAATAAGATGGCTACTCAAGCGTTAGGTGAAGTTTTAATAAGACAACAAACAGAAAAAAAAAATCACTGATCTCCCCCTCTTCCTACCAAAAAAAATAAAACAAAGGACTTTGAGAGTAGGGATCTTGTTTGCTTAGTTCATCTTGGTATCTCATAACATAGTCCTTGGTATATAGTAGGTGCTCAATAAATATTTGTTGAACAAATGAAAACGTAACCTCCCCAGCTCAGTTTCTAATGTAAAGAGCTCACAAAATTGAACATTCAAAACCTTTTCCCTTAAACTCTTTCTTTAAAACTTAAATGAAAAAAAAAAAAAAAAGTAGGAGAAAAATCCCTTCCTCTATTAAGTCCAAGATGAAAATTTTGATTTTTCTTACTGAAGGAATTCCTCCTCCACTCTTACACATCTCAGTGAATGACACTATATCATACTAGCTACTCAGAATCCCAAGGCCTATACTTAAGTTCCTTTTCCTGAACTCTTCACATCCAGTTTATCTACAAGCCTTGCCAATTCTCCTTTCAAAATACACCGTAAATTCTTCCGTCACTTTTCATTCCACTGCTACCACCCTATCCAAGCCACCTGGATTGTAATTGCCTCCTAATCTTCCTGCTTCCACTTTTGTCCTATAGTCAATTTTACATATAGCACCGAGAGTGATCTTTTAATATTTTGAATCAGATGGTATTACTTTTCTGCATAAAGTTCCACTGCACTTAGAATAAAAATCAAATTCCTTAATGTGATCTAAGGCCCCACAGGATCTGACTCCTGCCTACCTCCCTGACTTCACTTTGAATAAGTTATTCACTTATACATTAAGCTCTACCCACAACCAAGTGGGCACTTCTGTTTCACAGGACAAGATTCTTCCTGTATTAGAGTCTTTGCACTCACTTTTCTCTGCTGCTTCTGCCCAAGATAACTGCATTACCATCCTTCAGCTCAAATGCCACCTCAGTGAAATTTTCCTAACACCCACCTGTTGCACCCTTATCCCTCTAACACACAAATACCTTCATGTCACCTTGTTTTATTTTTTCGTAGTACTGAATACTACCTAAACTTCCTTTGTTCATCGTTTTTTTATTGTCTTGTTTCTTGTCTGAGAGGCACATAGCAAAATTTTTAAGAGAAAGGGATCTACAGCCAGACTGGTTCTAAATTTCTGCTCTGCCTTTTTTAGCTTATACCCTTGGGCAAGTTATTTTCCCCTTCTGTGCCCTCAGTTTCTTCATGTATAAAATGGAGATAATTCTAGTCCCTCTCTCTTAATGTTACTATAAGGATTAGGTGAGTTAATACTTGTAAAGTGCTTAGAACTGTCTCAGCAAACAGTACTTGCTAAATAAATGTCAGTTAATATTATTATTAATATTGTTTTTATTATTGTCTATCTTCCTGTATTAGAACATAAGTTCCAGGAAAGCAGGAACGTTGTCTCTCTTGTTCACTGGTGTATCCTCTGCATATAGAACAGTGCCTGGCACATAATAGGTGCTGAGTAAGTATTTGTTGAATGAATGAATGAATGATGCACTATGAAGTAGAGGAATGAAGTAGCAATGACATGTTGGTGACACAACTATAGAAAATACCCATGGTTGTTATGTGTCAGCTGCCCTTATTAGCCCTGAGTGAATCACCCTAATCCATTTAACTCCCAGCCCACCACCCAATCTTTTGACCACCTGCTATGATCAAATAACCACCCTTGTATTCAACACCAACATACAATGCAATCCATCCACAAAATTAAAAGCTGTTGACTTAAATGGTCTGAAAGTATTAATAAGAAAAAGAAACTAAAAAGTGTTTTTACTTAAATGGTTTGAAAGTATTAGTAAGAAAAAGAAACTATAAAACTTTTGACTTAAACAGTTTGAAAGTATTAAGAAAAAGAAACTTTAAGTATATTTACTAAAAAATAAGTTCATCCTATCAGCTGAACCTTGCTGGTAAAAAAAATCTACAACTGACTTTCGAAGAATTCTTATTTTAAACTCCTTACCACAGATATCTAGTTGGGCCCTTAATTCTGCCTGGAAATCCGCTTATACCCCCCTGTTTATTTTCCTACTTTCCAATAATCTGATTTCCCACATTCCCCTCTTTCCTCAAACCTCCTACATGTCTCCCCCAGCCCCTCTCCCCTTCTGACCCATATTCTTGAAAGTTAATGATCTTCTTACTTCCCTGGGAAAAATAGAAGCTGTCAAACAAGGACTCCTCATTTTCCCGCTAGCACTTTTACCAAGCTGCCTGCAGCTATGCCTGTATTCTCAGCTTTCCCTGTGTTACTAGAGATGAGGTGACCTAAATCCTCTCCCTTATACTCCGGATCCCAATCTTTCCAGCCTTCTTAGAGACTGGCATCCTGTTACATCTTCTGTCTTTCCTTCAAAATGTATCAATCCGTCCCTTTCGGATCATTCTTATCAGCTTTGAACATGGTATCGTATATCCTAACCTTAAAAAATGTTCCATTTTAATATAACAAAGGTAGAATTTTAATTCAGTGTGAAAAGGATGTTTTATGTAATAACCATAATTGCAAAACTGACTATTCTTTTTTTTTTAATTGTACTTTAGATGAAGGTTTACAGAACAAATAGTTTCTCATTAAACAGTACATATATTGTTTTATAACAATGGTTAACAACCCCACGACATGTCAACACTGTCCCTTCTCAACCTTAGGTTCCCTATTACCAGCTTTCCTGTCCCCTTCTGCCTTCTAGTCCTTGTCCCTGGACTGTTGTGCCCCCAGTA